CAACAACAACAACAACAACAACAACAACAACAACAACATTCCAATATGTATCCGCTTGATGAACAGGTATCGATATCAAATAAATCATCAAGTTCAACGAATACCGGAGAAACTGTAAGCTATTTGTTATAAAATATAACATTTGCAACATCATACGATTCTTTTTATAAACTTGACCTTTATAAATTTAACATTTCAAATCTTTTCTTCTTTTTGCCATAGTGATAATAATAGTTATAAAATTATTATTTCTTTACTGTCTAAAAATATCACTCATTATTTTACGGAATGAAATTCTAAATTAAAATTTGAATTGAAAATTTGCGTATCTTCTTCAAAATGACTGTTTATTTTATTGCATTTTCATTTTTACATTTGATCGCAAAATGGCAAATTTCAACTAATTTATGGAAAAAAATTTTTGAATGTAAAAATTTTAATAATATGCAAAAAATTTATAAACATTGAAACTGTTCAACAAAAAGTCATTACTGTTCTGATCTATAATGATTCATGTCTTCAGATTCTTCTTCTGATGAACAAATTCTTTTATCTTTTCAATCAAACTTGATAAATGATATATTTTCTTTTCTTTTGGCTTTATAGATTATTCATGTAATCAATGGAAATCGGGAGAATCCAGCTGAATCGTATACATAAAGTAAACTATGCAAACTAAAATGATGTATAAATTGAATTGATTAATTAATAATTCATTTAATTGAATAAAAATTACAAGCAAAATTTGTTTGTTGCAAAACATATTTGAACAATACATTTTATTGCATTCATTTCCTAGCAGAGTTTAAATAAATAATAAAAAAGCTGGAAATATACTATCAATAAACAATAGAAGAAAAAGTTTAGCAAATTTATCATCAATTAAAATTTCAATAATTACAGATTGCAACAACAATAACATTTATAACCCATAAATTATTTCCACTTCTCATATTTTGATTCATTCTCGTTTACAAAATTTCCACAAATATATAAAAATTTCATTTTGGATTAAAATTATTTAAAGTTATTTACAGTTCTTGTAAAAAAAAAAAAAATTTTTTTTTGTGAAGAATTATTTCTCAAAAAATTCTTATTTTGGTAATATTTTTGTTTAAAATTTTTTCAAGCAATAGATTGAGTAAATCAGAAGCACAAAATTTGGAACACATGAACAGGCATAAAATCCTATCAAATTTATTGCTTGAAAAAAAGAAATTCATAAATGCAAATAAATAACCTTCACCAAATGCTAATATTGCCAATGATAATTAAAGGTTAAATATAAATTTATAGGTTTGAGAATATCACCAATATTGTGGATAGAGGTTAGGAAAATCAAATTATATTTTGATCATTTTTTTTTTTAAGATTTCAGAGATTTTATTAAATTCCAATTTAAGCAATCAGCAAAAATTTGCCTAAAAATTTTTACAATTTTATAAATTGTTTCGCAGCGTGATATAAAAAATTAAACTAATACATTCGTCCCACAAAATGCTTTTTGTTTTCGAAATTTAGTGATCATTAGTTAATGATCATTATTAGTTCCTTTTAAAATTTTAATGAAATCTCCGTAAATAGTGTTGGATTCAAATGTGTGTAGATGAACTATCTGTCCTTCTCAAACAATTTGATATTATGATTATTGACAGAACAGTTGTTTATCTTTGTATCAATAACAATCATTTTGTTATCTCTGATATTTTTGAAATCTTGGAAATTCCTCATCTTTGACAACAAATGCCCAGCGCTAAGAGTTCTAGTACTTTCGTTGCCTTAAAATATCTCAAACAATCAGATCTTGTTCATTCTGAAAATTATTGAATTCAAATTTAAATTTGAAATAAATGTATAAAATGCATTTGCTTGTTTATACGCGCATCTTTTTTTTTCACTTTATACACTAATTATATAATTATTGAATTTTAATAGTTCTATTTATTTTAGTATTTTATATTTGATCATTTAATGATTATTCATTTTGTCAGGGCACTTCTGTGAACAAATATTATCAGGTCAAAAATGGATCTCTGTAACGATGTTATCATGTCGTTTGACATTCCTCTTTCTGCAATACCTATTATTAGATGCAGATTAAACAATCTATGACCTCGTTCCGCCTTAAGCCACATTTCGGTTGTCCACCTACCACACTATCACCTTACTTTATCTGTCAGTTGCATTAATTCTCTGTATCCAAAAAAAAAAATTAATTAGCGGCTTAATGATCATCATAAGGCACAATCAATTCTGTAACAATGTAAAATTAGTCTTATCATTTGAAGATGAATAATGCAGTAAGCATTTCCTATTTTACAGGAATCATAATCAAGTAAGCTCAAAATAGCGACACGAATAAATAGGTTTACAATAATTAATTTTGAAGTTAATTTCAATAATGCCATTCATAATAACAATTACATATTAAACAGATATTGGAGCAACTCAATCAATTCATCTCTTTTAGTAAGTGACCATCATTTGTGATAAAGATTTTCATTTCATTGATACTGTTTCATCTTCTTCCTCAAACATTTCAATTTTTTTTCAAATTGGTTCCATTATTCCAACCAAAATTTACCAAGTTCGTATTTGATATTTCTATCTTATCAGTATTTCGACGATGCTATATCATCCAAACTTGATTAATTTTCATCATATTGATAGAGTGAAACTGAAAGAAGAGATAAGTATGAATGGACATTGAAATACTAGACATACTTAAAAGCTTAAAGATGTAGGAAATTAGGAAATAGCATTAAAAGCAGTGATATCACGATGACAACGAACAACAAGGCAACGATTTCGAAGTGTTGAAAGATCACTTGATGGTATCACATAATCGATCACTTTTGTTGATGCTTCATGTAGATTAAAATTACTAGCAACAAGCTGTGAATAATTCCATACAGCTAGATGACGACTTTTGCCATGAATACAAAATACGTGTGTAGCTTTGGAACAGGTATGAGCAATTGCTCTATTCCATATTATTGTTTCCAATTCTTTTACAGGACAAAGAAATCCTATCTGGAGAAAAAAAAAACTGAAACATAGAATAGGAAATAAAATTGTCAATTTTTAACAAAAGCTTTCATTTCTTATCCTAAAAAAAAATATATTTTGGATATTTTTGAACATCTTCACTTTCTTCCTAACATGTTTTGGAAATTTTCTTCATTATTTTCTATATTTTTTTTTCTCGCATAAATCCATATGTTATTTCACGTTTCTTCCTTCTTTAGATCAACATTTCTCAACTGGAAAAAAAAAAAAAAACATACAACAAGGCACCAATGAGCATTACGTCCTTCTCGATTGCTTGGCTGATGATTCTTGCCACAATCATATGGTATTAATAATAATGCATTTTCTTGAACCAAATGCTCCATTTGAGCTGTAGATGGAATATTCTCGACTGCTACATCTAACATTGGCCATAACGAAACCGCAATATCAGCTAACCAATCAGCTGAAATAAATACAAAACAAAATTATACATTTGCAAAGGTATAGAATTTACTTCACTTTGCGTGAACCCAAAAAGCAATAACACTATACTAAGAAAGAGAGGGAAAAACGGAAAAAAAAGACAGTGTAAATCTTTGAAATTGACAAGAATTAATAACTACAAATATCACTCACATAAATTCAATTTTTCTTAACTGGAAATTATTCAGAGATAATTATTGAGACTTTCAATTATTCAGTAGTTTACATTGTTATGAATGAGAAAGTTTATGAAAAAAAAAAACAACTATACTAAACATACCGGAAAACATTTCACCATGATTTGTGTATCCTTTTTTCTTAGCATACTGAAAAATTTCATCCACATTTCGGACTGGAAGACCGTATGCCTGAGCAACCATTTGCACAGCAACAAGACCACATCTAAACTTTGCTTCAATTCAAGATAATGAATAGATCAAGACAAATTAATTTGAAATATTCTCCTTATTTAAGATAATCCCTTATTGAATATGCTTCTTTTACATATTATGTAGAATGAACATTTCGAAAATTTTGAAAAATTTATCAGAAGATAAACCGAAAAATTACTAATACATAGAACCAATAATGAGTGGACAAACTTGAAATAGAATAGGCTGTTCAGAGAAAGCCAAGAGGATTTTCTCTACAGGAGTTTCAACATATTGATAATCTTAATAGATGAGTGAATAAAATAGGATAACCTAACTTATTCCATCAAGCATTTCCTCTTTCCTAGAATTTATTTCTAGACAAATGCTTCGATCTGTACCGCATAAAGAAAACAATAAAATAAAATTTACTGGGGTCCATTTTGTAATATTGGTTCCACATTTCTAATAAATGCAACAGCTCCTCCTCCACTCTCCATATTTTTGGGGCAATCATTCAAAACTGAAAGAATTCGCCGCTGTGCCAGTGGTGACAAAGTTGGCAGTACAGTCACCTTAAGCATACTTAGAATTACTAGAATGAAACTAAATCCAACACCTCTTTGATGCTAATTTGTTTCGTCTATAATTAGTTTCACGTTTTGCTGCTCATTAAGTTTCATTTTAATTTCTATTCTACACTTACATTTAGCCGTATAAAGTGATATTACAAACATCATTCTTAATATTTTATTAAGTGCTCTCAATAGTCTGAATAAACCAACAGTCTGATGATTTGTACCATTATCTTTACAAAAATTTTTATATATATATATAT